GGCACATGTTGAGATCTTAATATAATCCAGATCTTAATAATAATATAATAGTTCTCATTACCAATATTAAATTTTAAATAAAATGGCCATTTATATTATTATTATTTTTATCTACTTCTCCTTCCTGGGAGATTCTGATGATACTCTCCTTAGGATGACACACACACACACACTCTCTCTCTCTCTCACACTCTCACACTCACACTCTCACACTCACACTCTCCCTCCCTCCCCCCCTCCCCCCCCTCGTGCACCGTGGGTGGGCCCAGGGGAATCCATTCAGGACACCCCCTGTCCTGGGCACGATGGTGCTGGCCTGCAGATTGGGAGGGCGACATTCAGAGACAGGGGCTGACAGTGTGAACCTCAGTCTTTCGTCTTCGTGCTCACACACTGGGCTGGGGACTCTGAGGACCCAGCGAGGCAGACCTTCAGAATAATGGAAACAAAGAGGGCAGGTGGCTAAGCCTCTTCACTTAGCCTTGATTTTCCCAAGAGGGACGCCACAGTGCCTGCTTTCCTCCCCTCACCCTCTGTGGAGCAGGAGTGCGGCTCTTAATCCAGATTCTGTCAGCGAAACTCGGTTACCAGAGCCCGACACAGAGGCCGGGAACACTGCGTGCTGTAGATGCGTTACTGAATCCGCATGCGGCCTCCCAGTACCCCCCCTGCCCCCCCAGTCACGCCTTTGTACTGATGGGGAACACTGATGAATGCGGGGGTCGAGTGACTTGCTCACAGTCTCTCCGCTAGGAAGTGACGGGTGGAATTTGAACTGGATCCGTCCTAGGGTCTGTGCAGAGCGGCATGGGGGGTCCGTGGGTTCCGGGGGTTGGCTTTTGTCCTAGATGGGGGCAGGATCTCTGAGGCTGGCCAGACTGCATCTGGGCCCACACAGACGCCTCTGAGCTCGGAATCACCCGGAGCGTTTCACGAGCATCCACCAAAGCCCATGGTGCGTTGTGGACTTTCATGGGCTGTGGACCCATTAGTGTGGCAGAACCAGTGGTAAGGTCACGGACACCAGCCACTTGGGGTCCTGTCAGAATGCAGATTCTCACTCTGAGGTGGGGTTGAGAGTCTGCATTTTCAACCAAAGTCCAGGTCACGCAACACTGCTGGTCTGCAGCCCACGCTTTGGAGGGTTTAGGGCAATCAGGAGGTGGGAAAGGTGGGGTTCCCTCCTTCCTTCCCACACCCCTCACCCCACCAGTGTTCACAGAGTTCCTTGTCTGTGCCAGGCCTTGGGCTGGGCCACTGGGGACACAGTGACACATAAAGCACAGTCCCTGCTTCATGGAGTTTAGGCCAGCACAGGGCTCCTTCCCTGTGGGGCTCCCTCTCTGTAGGTCCCTTCCTGAAGCAGGAACAGAAGCATGCTCCCCTGGGCCTGGGGAGGGGGTCCAGCGGGAGGTGTATACCAGGAAAAGAAGCGCACCCAGTCCGGCGGGCCTCAGCCCTGGGCACTTCTGGACCATTCGGAGAGATTCGTAACATCTGCGTGCGTGGGCTGCACGCAGGCTCGTTCAGCCAGCGCCTCTGAGGGGCGCACTTGGGCACCAGGGTTCTCAAGAGCTCCCCAGATGGTCCCTATGCACAGCTAGGGCTGAGAACTGCTGGTCCAAAGCTTGGTCTGAGAAAATCCCCTCGCGACCCCCTATTACTGGCCTGGGAGGCTGACTGGCCTCCTCTTGCTGGTCTTGGAGTTCCTGGTGGGAACTCCGGGAATGCCTGGTGGACCGGGATAGGCTGGGCTCAGGTACCTGCCTCACAGAGAGGAGATGGCGGCCGGACACTGGTGACCCCCATCTAAGCTGTGCGCCCACTGCTTGCTCTCCCGTCTCTGTGGGCAGAGACCTATGGTCATTCCCCGGGTCTCCAGCCGGAGTTCAGGGCCCTCGGAAGGCACTCAGGGGAGTTAGATAAGGACGCCTCGTTTACCAGGCTGGCTCCAGCTTGGGCTGGGGAGGGGGCACCAAGGAGTAGCAGCTGGCAGTGGTGGGCACACCTGGCTGTCGGTGTGCTGTGCACCAGGCCCGAGGCTGACCTGCCCACAGGTGAACAGGGTGTCCACAGGAGCATCACCAGTGTGCCTGGGCTCTGCCTTGTTTCATTCTAGCCTCCCAGCGAGGCTTTTGGACAGGGCGAACCCCACTTGACAGATGGAGAAACTGAGGCCCAGAGAGTGGAAGCAGTGTGCCCAGAGTCTTAGAGGGATGTGGGGTGTCCTGACCACGCACCCAGCGCTCGGCCCAGAGTGCCTTGCTGTCTGGGTTTCCCACCGTCCAGCTCCCTGGGCTGAGGTCCCTGTCGAGAAGAGAATAGGAGGAGAAATAAGGAGTATTTTGGTAGGTTTGATCTCTGCGTTTAGAAGTGGCTAGCAAATGACAGGGACATCACCCAGGCCAAACCCCTGCTGCTAAAGTCTTTATGGGGGCTTTCTCCTGGGGTTGGTTTGGGCCAGGTCTCAACACAGGCTTTGTTGAGACGGGTGTCCTGGTCCTTAGGCCCTGGTAGGTGAGGACCTCTGGGTGCGTGTGTGTGCGTGTGTGTGACATTTCTAGATCCTTTACTCTATTTGGCAACATATTCCAAGAGAAAAAAATAGCTTCCATGTCACTTACAAAAAAAAAAAAAAATTAAGTTTCTGGGGTCAAGCATTTTTGGAAATGGAGACTTTGCCTGTGAGGGTTTCCTGCTCCATCTCTGGGCTCAGTTGGTCAGCTTTGCCCAGGCACTCATGCACACACGAGGGGTTCACACCTGCACTTCCTAGCCAAGGTAAAGGGCCGCTTCGTTTCATCTGACTGTGAGTGTAATGCAGGCTCTTTGTAAAAGATCGAGGTCACGTAGAATGTAAAAAGAGAACTTTTTCTACGTATAGTTTTTGCTGTCTATTCTCTTTTCTGGTATTGTAGTTACCAAAATTGTCTTCTGTAATACAGGCTATTTTATAATCTCAATCTCTCTCTCAACAGTATATGGAGACATTTTTTCATATTACTGAAAACTTAATTACCAGAATCTTTATGATTTGACATTTAGGTTGTTTTCAATTCATAGATTTTTGAAAATAATGCTGCAATTAATATTTTTGTATATATGTTTCCTTCTCTTCAGGCTGAGTTTCTGAAAGTGGTATTTCTAGGTTAAAGGATTGTACATTTGAAACATCGGTACATAGTAATAGATTCCCAGAGATTGCTTTTGCTATTTACCTGGTATCGACAGTGGGTGAGACAGGCTGTTTCTCCATCCACTCGTCAGTCCTGAGTTGATATTATTGATCTCTGAAATATCTGCCCATCTTGAAAAGACAAAAATGATATCCCTTCCTTGTATTAATTTTAATTTCTTTCATTGCTTGTGAAGTGAGACATTTTTTAATGTTTGTAATGATTCTTATTCCTTTTGTGATTTTTTTTTTTTGAAATGGAGGCTTTGCTTTGAGGGTTTGTTAATATATTTTTTCAGATATGTTTATATTTTTCTTGCCTGTTTATCACAGTCTATATATGAGGAATATTAATCGACTGTTATTCGTGTTGCAAATAATCTCCAGTTTCTTGCTTGTCTTTAATCCTGTTTATATATTGTGTGTGTCTTCATATGGGTTCTAAGAAGTTTTTAAGTTTGGGTATAGACAAATATTTTTCTCTATGGTTTCTGATTTTAGACACCCTTCTCCTGTGCCAGCTCCTTCTAGATGGAAACATATTCACCCATATTGTCTTTTCTATTTTTATCGGTGTTTTTTTTTTACATCCACGATTTTAATTCATTTGGAGTTTATTTTTGAGAGCGAGGTTGGCATTTGGCTTAATATGAAATTTTCCCAAGTGG